AGTACCTTACCTCAGACATTTGTCCTTTTTCTGAAGGCTTTTGAGGGACAGAGGGGGTTCTATCATCAGGGGTGCTAGAGAGTTCTCTCTGCAGTTGCCCAGCACCCTCAGGTGCGCCCTCAAGCTCCCTCTGCTCCTTACCCTCCATTTCCAGGACCTCTACCTCATTTCATTTGGAAGGGCTCTTTGTTGCTCCTTACCTGCTTCCCTGCCAAATACTTCATAAGATGAATAACTTCATAAAGAGGCCCATCCTTCTCAGCCACCTTTTTTTGTAGCCAAAAAAGAGATGACGATCTGGCATTTCAATTCTTTCATTGTGTTCCTCTTCTCCAGTCCTAGGGGGGGGAACAAAGCAATGTAGAAATTTCCTTTGATTTGAAATCCAAATTTTTCTACTTTCTTCTTTTACCCCCAACTTTAGAAATTAAACAAACAACAGGTTACATTTGTGTTAAAACTCACTCAATTTTATCTAATACTTATCTAAAATAAACCAAGTGCCTATTCTTTACCAGGCTTCACACTCAAGCAAGTCATGATAAGTAACGAAGTTAGTAGATAGTCCTCAGATCTGACACCGGGGTGTAGGTGGATGCAAAATGCTCAAGAGGCACAGAAGAGGGAGGAAGGAGGGGGCTGGGAGGCCCTCAGTCTCATCCTGGAAAGCTGCCCAACTGCATGGCCCTCCCCATCCCCAGCAGACTCAGTAGGAATAAGTGTCACCTCATTCTTCTCTCTTCCCACCGTCACTGTCTATTCTGGAAGAGTGACCGTAAGGCCCTTGTCATGCTCAGTGGGCTGCTTTTGGACTCCATCATTTATTCCCCATCATTTCACTGATGTGGGGGTTCTATTTCCTGGGGCTGGTGCTGGGGAGCTAAGTGGAGCATAGAGAAAGGCTCATTTTCACAGGTTGGAGAGAGGATATATTCCATCCTTTGGGAGGTTAACTACTTTGAGATTTAGTTTGCTGCTTTCCTTCTCAGGAAACAGCTCTTCTGCAGGGGGAAGGCAGGGGACCTGAATGAAGAGGTGTTCAACCCCCTTGCCCCTCCCACCCAATACT